GAACTCGGCTACTGCTGTACTCCACAACGAAGAGGATGCCAACCTCACAAGATGCGCTTTTGGCAAGCTCGCGACGAAAAGGTTCCAAAGCCGCCATTTGCGAACCCGTCACTGTTGTTTTAGCTGCAGAGGTTAAGGCTTGAAAATAGGTCCCTGGGGGTGGTATCTTGCGCAATCTACGGTAACACAGGCCATGGGCGAACCGAGAGGGTGACGAGTGCTGGTCATTTATCGGTACCAGTTTTGTTCGATGTCGGGTGCATGACCTCAAAAGGGTGTCTTGCACTTCAGTGGGAGAGAATTTCGGCAACTTGTGGCAGCAGAAAATACCAAGTACAACATGCTCTTCGCAGCAGCCAAACACTCCCCTTCTCTGCCCATAGTTTTCAATGAACCAGGTACCGTCAGGATGACATATCTGGTTGGGGACGGTGCCTGATCACACCCGCCCTTCCATCCCGAACACCACCTACAGTACCTCCGAAAAACCCCTTTACCCTGGCTTCTACAGGCAAAAAGCGTAGATGCATCTGCCCTACTGCTGCTGTATTTCATTGGTCTGGAGCACGCTGGTGTGTCTTACCAATCACCAATAACCCGTGGTAAAACCCGTGGTAACAACCGTCTGATGACACAGCAACAGCAGCCAAGGTTAACACCGTATGTACCCGTCAATTGGCCCGCATAAGTACGGCAGTTCAAGCACGGCATGTCCGCGGAATGGCACAGCACTTCGATAGGATTTCGTGCTCCAAAGCAGTACAAGCTACTTGCGACAAGAGGTAAACATACGAGACATGGTAGTGCCGTAAAGGCATGCCTTCTGCGGTTGTCCGACAACGCAACCGCCAGTGGGGTTTCTGTTTACAGCAGTAACCCGGCTGGTGTGTGTGCATGTCGCAAGAAACCCGGCCCGCTGACACCCACGGAGCAATCATGTTCGGGACAATCAGAACAAGGCCTCTTTTACAATATAACATCACCATCGGCCGTGCATCGCACTCCTACTATACAGTGACCCAGAAGCTATGGTGAAACAGCAGCTGCTGCTTCAAGTACAATGAGAGGTGACGTCCTCCGACACATCGCATGTAATTTCGTTTCACACGACATCGTCATTATTGCCTACAAAAAAAGCGGGGGGATGGCCATGGTTGTAGGCAGCGATATTCGTCCCAAAGGGGGTAGGTAGCGTGACAACAGGTATATTGGTAGCCTTACCAGCATACTAATGTCCCTTGAGGGTGCGGCTTGCACGATGGCCAGTGGTTTCGATGGTCGAAAACGGCTCGCTAGAGTCTTATTTAGGTATCACACAGCAGTAGTACTCCGTAGTGCTTGTTGGCCCTCAACATCAACGTGGCGAAATATCAGTATTTCACGCGTATGGATGTGTGCATTGTACATATTTCATATTCGATTTAAAAATTCTCAATGGCCGAGGGGAAGAGAGAGAGAAGCCGGGAGGTCGACGACGACGAGCGAATGTTCCACACCGGCAAACACAACTGCGGATCCTCTACACCGAGTCTAACTGCCAAAGCGTACGGTCTGCCCACCGACTCATGATAACGCCGGCTCTTGACTGGTGGATACGAAAGTCTATCGTATGACTACACCGATGGTGGATGCAGCAACAAGACACAGGTTTTGTCATGTTCGCGGCGGGCAGGTGTGCCACTCTACCACTCCGCACGCACACACGAGGGCAATGCTGGAAACTATCTCGGGCGCGCAATCTCGCCGGAACCTCACCTCTGTGGCTGAGTCGTCCTGGGGTGGACGGCGAGCCCACCGGCCGGGAACGCTGAGGGATAGGTGCCGGCATCTTGCTTGAGCCACGAGATTTAAAAAAACCTCTCCTTGTGTTTGTTGCCCTGGGGGAGGCTTGTAGCGTGGTAGGCTTGCTGTGCAGCTCCCGCCTGTCGCGATCTATCCCCTAACTGGTGAAAGGCAAGATAGGAACGTACGAAAAATCTGACGCGCGCCCTGTTGTTCCTGATACTGCTACTGCTGCTGCTGATCCGGCTGCGGCTGCGGCTGCTGCACCAGTTTGCGTCCAGCGTGCCCTCTCCGCGGCGCTGGTGCACGCTCATTTTTTTTTTCTAATAAAGGAGAGGGAGGGGGGGGGTGAAATTTTGAGAAAATATACACAACAGGGGGGCGGGGGGCACGTTCTCGCATGGTACACATCTCCGAAGATCTGACGACTGGCACAAAAAGATCCAGATCTGCGAGGAGATCCAGATCTGGGGCAAAACGTGTAACGGAAGCTGGATACCCTACAGGTGTTTCGGTGAGCACTCACACACTTTTCGCTCACACAAAGGGGTACGGCTGCGTCCACTGCTGTCTGGTAGCGGTAGCTTACACGCATCATCTTCTCCACACAGCACGCACGCACGCACTCTCCTATACTGCTGTACACCGCGGCGGCACACTTCAGGGTGGCGAGTACAAGATGGTGAACGGCCTTCGGTTGGCGACGTTGCTCTTCGTCAGGGTCGCTCTTGTGGCACTTTCGAACGCTCGTGGCACTGCAGTAGTAGAGGCAGCGCCGGGGGCCCCTCTCGGCCTCTACTATGAGCGATGGCAGCAGAAGCAGACCGAGCAGACCAAGCTGCCTCTACTCCTGGGCTTCACGAGCCCAATCAACGGCACTCGAGTTGAAGGTCCCAACGTATTCCTTCACTACAAGATCTTCAACACCCTTGAGAACAGGGAGCTGACTTCGGCTGAGGTCCGAGATCTCTCCGTGTCAACCACGGTGTGCTTCAAGCTCCACGGCTTCAATAATGTCCCCGAGATCTGCGCGCCGTTGAGAGTAACCACCGTCACGATCAAGGACGCTCTTCCGGCCAAGTGGCACCACGTTACGGGCTCGATCAAGGACACGAGAACGGGCAAGCTGCTGGGAGCGTCGGACGGCGGTGTGTCCGTGTTCAACAACCTGAATGGATACGGCGTCCTTGATATGTGCGGCGAGAGCGCCTGCTTGGACTCGAATGCTCTACGGTCGGCGTACTTCGACTACGTTTACCGGTGAGAACAAACAACCGTGGGTGGTGGTGTGGAACACTTTTCATGGGTTATTGGCATACCCTTGTGGGTTGGGCGGGGACATGCGTTGAGGGTCGAAAATTTTCCGCACAACGAGCATCACGCGATCGAAGGAAGATTCCACTTGTGGACTTACATTTCGGCAAGGCAGTCTAGACTATGAATTTAATACAAGCGGTTGCAGATACAGAACACTTTGCTTGCCATATGCAACCACACAACGAATGGCCTAGATCCACAGAGAATGCACGTGTTGCTTGTGTTGTGCGATCAACTGCAGTAGTACAGAAAAGAGTTCAGCACGCACCGCGCAATATAGTTCTTGTTGGGCTCGTAATCCTGGGTCCCAACTGCCGGTACGTATTGTGGGAAACAAACGCATTCCGGTCGATGCCGGGCACGATGTTAGTGAGCTCAAGGTACGTTGCTGGGCTATTGCACGATAAAGTGAGCGAGGCCGACTACATTTTAGTACAGTGTAATTCGAAGTTACATGCTCACACAACTTGTGTACAATGGAGGTCACTATCGAGGTGATGCCTGACCAATTCAGTGTGTCGAAATCTTGCTGCCCGGTATATTTCCTTTATTTCTGAATCTTATTCTGGTGGTCCATGTCTGTAGACTTGCAACTTCTAATAAATACGAAGAGTAAAGTTGCACCGCAGAAGCATCTTATGGCGGCTCACCCATAAAGTAATCCGAAATAGAAGACGATCCGTCAAGAATGATTAGAGGGGGATGGAACCATGAGCAACAAGGCACGCGCTGGCCACTTGTAGCGTGTTTCAATACATCAACAAGCACACGTTCTTGATGAAGAGCTCGGTAGGAACGTGGGCTGCAGGTCACCCCACTGGTAACGAAGTACCCGATGAATGTTCCAGCTGTGGTCGCCTTCACTTGATTCCCATCGAAATAACACGGTTTTATTACCACGACAGGCACCCCAGCTGGTATGGCCGCATCCCTCTCACAGGAGCATCCAAGCTTTCAACCACCTTCTCTATCCGGTCCGGTCTCTCCAATGTGATCTCCGCCTTCAACATCAAGAGGTAAGGGCGAGTACTGCTGCAATTGGTATTCCCTTGCCGTTGCGAACGAAATAGTCAGCACCACTGCGCCCCCCCCACCAAACAATTTCTCAGCCGTCTTGCTCTGTAATGTACATTCTCTACCTACATACGTTCCCATCGCTTTTGGTGTTTGTTGTTATCCGAACTCTTATCTATGTAGACTACTACTGTGGTGAGCTGGATTCCCCACCGTTCATACCCCACTCGCTTCGTTTGACATGCACAACATGCCCGTCTGGGGATACCACCACCCACCGCCGCCGTGTTTGCTATCCTTCGCCAACAGCATGCTCGACGCGCCTTGCGGCGATCTGAGCTGGATGCCCCTGGTTTCCGGGATCCAGAATGTCCAATACACGGGCGCCGACATCGTAGAGATTGCCGTGGAGACCAACCGGAAGAAATTCGGGGCAGACATCACAGAGATTGGAGACGAGGACTTGGAGGTGGGAAGGGAGATCGCCGCCGCCATGCGCCGGGGAGAAGGCCTGAAGGACCCCGCCTTTGTCGTGGCCGATCTCGTTGAGGGTGTGCCGGCCTCGCAAGACGGGGCACCCTTTGACCTTATCTTTGTTAGGTGAGATTGTTTCCGCTGAATACATAGCATAGGATGCGTTTGAAGCCGTTCATACGCTGACTGACCCGCTGCTGCGACCGAAAACAATACGGGTTGTTTCAAAGTGTGATGCCCATTTATACTCTTTGAACTACTGGTTATTTGTTTGCAAGCGTAGACCAAAATGACAGAAAACCGACAGAGAATCTCGTGAGATTATGGTGCCTAACAAGCACGTATTAAAAAAAACATGAACATACACTCCGCGGCGCGTGAGGTTATTCTAGGCTTGCAATCCCTTGGCACGATTGGTTGAATGAGCTTCTTGCAGCAGGCGCGTGTGTTGCGACTTCACGCGCAACCGACTAAGCATCATTGTAGCAATGCAGACGCGTTGACTGCTGTGCCCTTACTTGAGGAATACTGCGGTACCCTCATAACCAGTTGATATCTTCCTCGAAAGCGGTGTGACTGCGCCATCTCGAGCAAAGCAATGAATAAATGCTGCCACACTACTTGTACAAGTACAGCACAACCTGATGTTCGCTTCTTTACGTCCTGCGCCCGCTGCCGACCAGGGCCACACTGCTCAACGTGTTAGGGTTGTGAGATTGGTTGTGATCTTCTCACAAGTGTGTCGTCGAGCTCCACCACTTCCGTACACTGGTCGACCCCGTCACGTAGGGTGTGGTGGCCTATCCCGAACAAAAACCGTACTGAAACTCGGTCCTGGCATCACCAAAGTTGGAGGACAACATGCCTCTACTCGCCAATGATAACCGTGCCCCAGTCTCTCCTCATCCTTTGCCACGAAACCATCGGATTCCCGGAGCATCCATCTCCCGTTCACGATGGCCAGCATCCTTTCAATTAGGCCAGACCATGTCCACCTGATGCGGGTCTGCGAGCAAAGCTCCCCCCCGCCCCCCGCTCTAACCCTTACAAGGCCACGCCACCAACCACGCCTACGACACACCTAGCGTAACTTTCCACATCAAAGTCCCGTTTCCACCCCCGCCCCCCCCCCCCCCCCCCCCCCCCTCGTGCTCCCAGGGACCTGATGGTGCACCTGCCGGCCCGTCACAACCTCAAGGTCATCCAGAATATCCAGGCGAGCGGGGCTCGTTTCCTGATGGCTTCGACGTACGTGGAGGCCGACGAGAACAAACTGTCGGAGACTTTCGTGCCTCCCATTGGGCACAACATCAACCTCTCCCTGCCGCCGTACTGCCTGCCAGAGCCCATGGCTGTCTTCCGTGACGACTCCACCGAGAGGACCGATCTCCGGATGGGCCTGTGGGATCTCCACGAACACTCGCCGCTCGCTCTCAGTGGGGACTGCTCGCCCACGTCTGTCGCGGTGTGATTCTTCTTCGTTTCTACATAGACTATAGCTATGCGTTTGTGGTCAGTGCATAGAACGTTTCGTCGGTCCATCTACCGTACCGATTGGTCGAGGGTTCGTGGCGCCTGAAAAACGTTTTGGTTGCAGGCAAGCGTTGTTGGAATATGGACGCGAAAGTTGCTCCAGCCCATAACTAGTGATCGATCGATCGATCGGTTCTTTAGTCTGTAAACAAGACGGGTTGACGCCGATGTCGTCAGGAGTACGCTTATCTGAGAATCTCTTAGTTCGATCAGTTTAGCACACGGTGCGAGACTACGGGGATGAGGGCGCCTTGCATCATCTCGAAGCTTCGAGGTACTTGTCTGTTGTTATTGCACTTGCAGCATATATTGGAAAACGACGCGACACACACCCGTGTCATTTGTCATAGCACATGCTCTGTGAGCTCAAATGCAACACAGAGTTATTCTAAAATTCTAAAAAACTGCAGGTTCTTCGTGGGTAAGTGGTGGGGTACTGTAGATCGTCGGCATTTTATTCATTTTCTAAGAGGTATGGTTTTGTTTAGTGAAGGTGTAGTTCAGGATAATTTGGTCCTCGCCTTTGAAGCGCAAGGAGGAGGAGGGGGTGCTTTTGGGTGGGTACTTACTGGGTGATCACAACAATATAGCACCCAGAATGGCATGGAGTCTTGCACGGCAGATGTTGTTGTGGTAGACCAGGCCGTGGTGTAGCGCCGTGCAGTCCGATCTATGTATGTAATAGCTCTGTCTGGTTCACTCCATCTACTACGGATTCGAGCAAGGTCACCGGCCATTGGAGACAACAGAATTGTCTGACTGCTGCTGCTGTAGACAGCAGACGGACTTTGGATGGAAATGAAAATAATATTTTTGCTGCTGTGGGTGCTCTATTGTGCCAAATGTGTTGCACATGTTATGTAAATTTACTTTAGTGGTGTTCAGGGAGGGCCTTTTGTTTTCTAACGACGCGATCAGTCACCACATACATCGTGCGAGTGCTACTATCTATGCGTTCGTTCAAGAACGTTTCTTTTCTGCTTTCGAGGTGGGGGGGGGGGGTGGAGATCTGCTCACGCTCAACGTGAGAGTCTGGTTCAAATGTCAATTTTTTTTTCAAGTGAGTGTGGTGTTGGTTCTTTAGAAGGGGCTAGGGCTGCACAAAGATGTTTCGAGGTTGTTGTTGTTTGCCCCGTCCGCGCTACTGACTGGAGAAGCAAGGCGGGCTATAATACCTACCTACATACATACGTGCGTTGAGTCGATCGTTGTTCATGCTCGCTCATTGAGCCCTCGCAGACAGTAGAAACGATGTGTGTGGTACGGTGGTAGCGATGCTGCTGCTCGTGTTTGGTTATTGGCTTCACGCGAGCGTGATACCAAATAACGTAGACAATGGATGGAAAAGAAAAAGACGCCACGGCCCGTGTCCAACCGCATTAATCGCGTAAGTGCCTTTTTCGCTGACCGGGGAACTATCATCGACTGTGCGAATTTTAGGAATTCCCACGAGGAAATGGAAATTCCGGCGAGAGAGCTGGTGCTTATATTCACACCCTGTGTACGTGTGTACGCAACGCATGGCCGGACCCAAACATTGGTGCTAGCGTTAAGGAGACAAAGAAGCGGACGGAGAACGCTCGCGGCGAAATGAACCTCGATCAATCGTGGCCGTCATCCGCCTGCACTGTTCGCTCTCCAACCTCAAGCCTCTGATATACAACAAGCACGTTGTTGCCCCCCCCCTTGTAGTCGTCGGCATGTGTGTCACTCGTTTCATCACTTCCACCAGAAACACTTCGACGCGGATATCGCAGGGCAGCCCCCCCCCCGGGGTAGCCGCCCACGGAGACAAAAAAAACAAACGTCCACACAGGGTGCTCACCACCAAAAAACCTTCAAAAAATTATC